ACGTTGGCTTAATTGCCTACTTATTATTGAACATCAACTCGGCCCGCGTGCCCAATTGTTTGGGCATTTTTTAGCCTCTATCTTATATCTTACCAAAGTCCACAAATGTCGTTGCATTTTTTTTTTTCCCTTTTCCTTGCACACTAGATAAAAGTGTAGTTGTGCGGAATAATAATTTTCTGAACCGAAAAAACGTGTACTGATCATAAGTGTCTCTTTGGGTAAAGGTGAGTTTTTTTTAAAAAATTTTTATTAAAAAAGTGGTTGAAAAAATATTAAATTAAATATTGTTAAATTTGATATGTTATTTTTTTTTTTTGAACTAATTTTACAAGGAGTTAGGTTCGAACCCCAACCCTGGGGAAGGGGGAATGCACCATGGGTTGTTATTGTCACTTGGCTCAAAGGGTTCGGTGCGTTAAATTTGATATGTTAGGTAAGAGTTTAACATAAGAAAAGTATTGAAAAATTAGTAAGAAGAATTATTTCGGTTTTCATATAAGAAAAATTGTGAAAAACTTTATTCTTTAAAAAAATATTTAAAAAAACTTACAAATTGAAAATTATGTTAAAAAAATAAAAAATAAAAATTTTACTTTTACCTTTTTTTAAAAAAAAATTTATAAATATCAAAATACTCTTACAAAATCTTAGAAAATAACATTTTCCAAGATTGTGCTCAAACGCACCCTAAATTCATGCTTTTAGATCCATTGAACAAAAAAAGGTTCATACTTTTAGATGAATAGCAAGATATGTTAAAAAACAATAAAATTCCTAGTGCATATATTTATTATCATTTATCAAGTCAAGTATATAATAAAATTCCGCACTCCCTGCCTTGTAGCACTACATAGGATGTTTATGGTTTGATGTAGGGTAATTCTTAGAGAAAAACTCTACTTAAAACTCTTAAATTTATTCTAAATTCTTAGTTAAACGTCTAAATTTTTGTTGAGGTAAATAAACCCCTAAACTTAATACTTTGGGCAATTTAACTATCTTTCTTTATAGCGAACTTAATACCCGTTTGTATCTTACTTGCATAAATAATGATATATCATTACCTACATAATTGGTACTAATCTTATCTATGCGAGTAAAGT